ATTTTTCCTCTGAAGGAAATTAAGAGGAGATAACTGATAACTGACAGGCATTAAATATGACACGTGCAAATAGAATAGTCTAACCCAGTGAGCGAAATAAAGGATCCAGTTCGACATTCCAACCCTCTGAAGACGACCTGAGCTTACAACGGCCGAAACGTTGTAATAAATATGGCGAATAATGTAAATAATATAGAAAGCGTTAGTAAGGAGAATTTTGGGGAGAATGAAATAAACAGGAACAGATATAGGGATACATAAGTCGCTTATCTCCCTTTAGTGAAGATAAACCATGTGGGACACATGTCGGTCGCTTTGTGACGTTATTCCATATGTTGACGAAAGCGGCAGTCATTTTTCATTTCGTGGAGAGCAACCGATTTAGAAGGTTGCTTTCTTCCAGCCTGGGCTAAAAGGGGCTTAGGCTAAATCTGCCTCCCCCGGTAACTTTCAAGCTCAAAGTGACGTTTCTATTTGGGACATGGATGAATCCGGTCCGTTTAAATCTGGTGTCCTAAAGTTGCTTCTCCAGGTCATGAATATCTCCAAATAATATGTTCCTATTTGTTCTTACTTATACATTGCTTTGCTGTGTTGATATATCTGATATATAGTTCTCCACTCGAGACAGGTGTATATAGGTATATATATATATATATGGCTTTGTGTATGTCTTGGTATTATAAATGTCTCTCTGAGGACAAAGCATGTTAGTTATTTGTTTGTTTTTTTTTTCTTCCAGCCATTCCGTTCATATCACGGATTTAACAATAGCCATAACGGGAGAAACGTAATTGGGAGAAACAAATCATTCTTCCCTAGCTCTCCTCTCGTTACACAATGACTAGATTAGACTTAGCTGCCAATCTAGCAGTACGTTTAAATTTATGCACGAAGGTAAAAAAGATCTTCAGGTTTACAGGAAAATAGACGTAGTAGACAGAGGAAAACACGTCACGTCGGTGAGAAAGTGAGTGAAGTCGAGATGCCAGGTCAGGATCGAATACATTTAGGGTCACTTCTTCGAGTTTTTCTCTCAAGAGACACAAGAACACCTATGTTTTAACCCATTACCAACCATGAGCCTTACTTGGGGATCTGTTAATATTAAACACACTACATGTTATTTATTGTATTTACATTGAATTGCTTACATACACTGCATTTGCAGAAATATATTTTACAACACTTAGCTTTTAAAATTCTTTTTTTATTATTAGCCGTAACTAATCATAGAAGACACTTTCTGTCGTAATTTTACATTTCACGAATAGAAAAATAATGATTATTTTCAAAAGTATTTGTTTTAATATTTCTAATCAATATTATTTTTTAATGTTTTATACGTATATATATTTGATGTTCTAGTTTCTATAAAAACGACAATGGTAACTACTGAAATTAAACATAAGGAATAAATAAACTCCTAAGACACCTGTCTGGGCTAAAAATGTGCATTAAAAAAATTTGGCAGTTAATGGGTTAATAACTTTCTGCTGATGTGTTAAAATTTCCTCACTGTCAATGTTGAAAAATGAAATCATGTATAAATATTCGATACATGTTTTCCCTTATGACAATATTTTGAATTGATTCCAATTCCATTTAGTAAAAAAAATCATTTTGCTTACCATAATGACAAAACCCTGTTCTTGATAATGACTGAGACGAAAGACCTAATTACCAAATAGTAGAAAAACATGAACTTTGGGTATTTTATTTGTGCGTTAGCCAACTCGACATTGCCAATAACGACAGTTAGGGGTAGCCCTCTAAGCCTAGAAATAGGCAATAACATTCTCACGCACTCTCTTTTTAATTATTTTCGCTCTGGTTTTCAGATATACTCGCACATAGATAGGAATACTGCCGACAAGGCACGTTCGCTTCTTTGGTCCTCTTTTCACTTTTGAATTCTCTGAGAGACAAATATGCACACAGTTGTCTATCACGCATACCTGTTACACACACACGTATAAACAAACAATTACTACTTAGAGCTAGTTTTAATGTATAATTTTTTTTTCATTTCGTTACAATTGTCTACACATGTAATTATTTTTGCTATTTTCAGGCATTGCCTTTTGTCTGGCGTTTATTGGGTAGTTAATGGGTTAATTAAATGTGAAATAATATTTGCAATCTTGTAATTCTTTCCGAGTTTCATTTTGACGAATCTGCATTTCTAGGCAAATTAAAAAAGAGCAAAGGAAGAAAATGAATCTTGCAGAATATGAACGAAGTAATTCTCTGCCAGTCAAATGTGCAATCATTTATATGTGCGCGCTAATGGAACTTCTCGAACTTTCAGAGTGAAATTGGTTTCCAGATCTATTTCAGATTTCTGTTCGGAAGTAAAGCCTTCTATTTCGGGAGTGTGCTATCAAAGATCAACAATTATACGACGGGGATGAGGTCTGCAAAATAATTCTTTTGACTTTGCTTTTCATTTGTCCTCATATATATATATATATATATATATGTGTGTGTGTGTGTGTGTGTGTATATATATATATATATATATATTAAGTATTATAATAAAATGAAATATAAAAATAAATTTTAAAACTCTCCCTTCCCTCTCTAAACTCGACCATGTCTCTCATACCATCACTCACCACCGTCTATGTCAACATATAATCTTCATACTGCCCGTCAAAAGTGTAAATTTTAAATTCATTTTTCGTTTCAAAGTTTTGAAAGTGAAGTCTGAAGATCCAGAGAAAAATAAAATTCCCTGGTGAAATAAATTATTACAATGGAACCTTAAAGTGGTCTGTTTTTCTTTAATTATATATATATATATATATATATATATATATACACACACACACACACATATATATATATATATATATATATATATATATATATATATATATATATATATATATATATATATATCTTTTTTCTAGGTTTTAAGAAAAGACTTTTAGCCATCTTGACACCATTTTTCATAAGAGTCACTGAAAAACCCTTTTAGTTATTCAGCTAAAAGAGAACTGGTTAAAATCGTTTTATGTCAGTCCCACGATGTCTTACCAATGGTGAGAGGAAAAAGATCATTCAGGCCTTCAGTAATGGTACCGGCATTCATATTCTGGCTTCCATCTTCTAAGTCCATTCAAGAACCATCAAGGGAACAGTGAATAAGTTTAAAAAAGAGGGAACAATAGAGAGGGAAACTGGATCAGGAATTCACAACAGGAAGAGTGATAATCATTTCAAGTTCGTGCTAAAGAGATCAATTAGAAAAGATCCAACTCATTCATAAGACGTGAGAGAGAAGTTTCAGCTATGACAGTCAAAAGAGCAGTGAAGAAAAACTTGAAAATGAAATCGTAAGTGATACTTGTGAGGTATCATGTTACTCTAAGACAAAAGGATTAAAGGTTAGTGAGGGCGAAGTTCATCTTGAATAAATTGGAAAATGATCCTGGAACAATATATATATATATATATATTACGAAATGGACAAAGTCCGACAATTATTTTAAGAAATTTTTATGTTTATACATTCTATTTATAGATACAAATATTTAAGTAAATGCTCTGTTTATAATAAACAGTATTAACAAGATTTACTGGCCTGAATGTCCGAGAAATTTTCATAGAAAGTATATGTACTTTGACAGGAATCGAACCTGAATCCTATACGGAACCGTCATATAGCCTGATGTGCTTTTACCGATTTCACCACGATCGGTTAGAAAGGTCGAATTTACTGTTTTAAACTACAATTCTCCATCATTTTTTTCACGTACATTCATATCTGCTCGATGCGTATTCAAATGTAAAGAAATGACATCGCACATTATGAAATAGACAAAGTCCTCAATGATTTTAAGAAATTTTTATGTTTATACATTTTATTTTATCGATAAACATTACGGAAAGTGATTGGTGTACTGCAGTGATATGAGTGGTGTCATGCAATCAATTAACATTCAAAGCATTCGAGACTGTTGTCTCCCCGAAGACAATTCACGAACCTGTCTTGTTACACAATTGTAAAAGTTTACCTTCATTCCTTGTTGTTCATGCAGTCCACAGGAAAGAAACTATTTACAATTTGAAACAATTAAATTTCTGGGATGAGGTATTATCATTATTATTTACATTATTTATATTCGAAATATTGTCCTCATCTATGTTGTTGTTATCAGAGAATTCTGAGCTGAGCTCTTTATTTAATATGAGGGGTTAAACTGTTCTCATTCCAATGGTCATGTCTAGGGATATCTATTCTAGTTCTTATTTTTATTTATGTTTCATTATTGCACGCCCGTTTCCACTGAGTGCAAGTGATTGATCTCACAACCACTATGTCACCAGATTCTCAAAGCAACGATTTTATCCACTCTGTAATTGTCCGGTAGGACAATTTGCTGTAGAAAACTTGGAGCTTTAAACCTACACTAGCAGCTGATTAGGTTGCAACTGCTTCTGGTGCTGATTGTTATGTTTTGACTCTTGCTGCCGCCCATACTTTTGATTGCTGCTGCAACGTTTAAGGACTTGCTGTCTCTTGTCAGTCTGTCTTTCTTTCTGTTGTAATAAAAATTTTGTCGGCATTAAATAACCCATTCAGGTTGATATGCCGTAAAACAAACCAAACCAATATATAGTGAGATAGATAGATAGATAGATAGATAGATAGACAAAAAATATTACCAGAAATTAAAATTTCGTCGGCATTAAATAACCCATTGAGATTGATATGCCGTAAAGCAAAACAAACCAAACCGATTCTTTTAGACGCCTTACTCTCCAGTGTTCATCATTTTCCAGTATTTTTACTTCCATTCATACATGATCAGCCATGCCCGCATTCATTGTCTCACTTCTCATCACGGCTTTTAATTTTATGAGGCAACTTGTTTCAACTAACTTTCTAGGTAATGAAAATCAGAAAATTACAAAAAAATGATGGTAAAGACGACGTGGAGACATACAGACATCATGGCTGTAACATATCGTTGAAGATCCACGTAGATTACTATCATGTTTTTCCCCGAAACAGTGGTGCTGTGAGTGACATTGCAGCAATGGAGACAAGGTATCAGGGAGAGTGGTGTCCATCTGTGCTGGCTGATTATCGTTGAAGAGTGAGCAGAGACGAGCTAAAAAGCGTCCTGTGCTTACTGAATAACTACTCATGTCTATACTTCTGAAGAGAGATTTCCAGTTTTATTTTATTTAATAAACGCATATTGCCGTTTTGATGTGTCAGTGCATTGCTCTGGTAGCCGACATAGATTAGAACAGAAGATCAAAGCAGTTTTTGCAAAGCAACATTGTTTTTCTTAGAGAAATCCATTGTACTAATTAGTATGACATAACTGAAAGAAAATATCTCTAAATCTAGAGCGATTCATCTCATTTGGACGTCATTTTTGTATCCATCATGTCAAAATACATAAGAATTGGGACATTTGTTTGCCGAAGCAGTCAATTTGGGAATAATTGTAGACTAGTGTTTTTTTGAAAACTATACTTACTTTGAAAACCAATCCAAAGTATATATATATATATATATATATATATATATATATATATATATATATATTTTATGCATGTTTCATTAAATAATATAGACAAGTTTTGTCTATTTATTTTAACTCAATTCCTTTCATATTCTCTGATAAGCTTAACAACATTAGTATTGAAAGACGAAAGGTAATCACCATATTGATACATGTTTAAATCCAATCTAAGCTTTCGGCTTACAATAGCCATTATCAAAGATGACAATTACATTTCAATATATCAACCAATAGAAAGACAAAACAATAATGATAGTCTGTTTTTGTTGCATGAAAGATTTCAAAGATATACGAGACGCGGAAGCGAAAATCGAAACGCAGCTCGTGACGTCACACATGACTAGGCGAGAGTGAAAACCAGAAGTATTAAGCATGGGAAGCCGTTGGTATAAACATACTTAATACTTCTCGTTTTCACGCTCGCGTGCTCATGTGTGACGTCACGTGCTGCGGTGCGATTTTCGCTTCGGCGTCTCGTATACACGAGTTTGTCTTTCCTTTGAAGTCTTTCATATGATCCTGTGTGCATGTGTGTAGGCTTTAGAATAAGTTGAAATAGAGCCGTTAGATGAGTCCAATAATCTGTCAGATTGACCATTATATATAAATAGACCAGCCATCACACGTGGCCTAAAGATTGCATCAAACATGAAACAGACACACACACGCACCCACACACGTACGCACACACACACACACACACACAAGCACACACACACACAGACACACACACACATACACACAGACACACATATATATATATATATTTCTCAGCATATCTTTATTCAAGCATGTTTGGTTGAATAATCTGGGCGTATTATGTATATTTATTTTATTTTAATCCTCTCGAAATGTGAATATGAAATTATTTAAGGAGGTGGCGTAGTTTTTTTTCATTTCTTTTTCTTTTTTTTTACTTTTTCAATGCCATCTAAAATCATCTTCATATATATATATATATATATATATATATATATATATATATATATATATATATATATATATATGCTCCCAGAACGATTGAATAAGAACGGCGAGATGTACAAATAGCAAATATATACTCAGTTGTATATATAGATATAGATAGAGACCAAATATATAATTTCAAGGGACAAGAGAGTCGATTGTATATGAAAATATGTATTATGTCTCTTGATCCGCCTGAAGATTGTGAAATTGTCGCATAACAATCTGAGTGATTATATGTCATAGAAAAGCAGCAATATTTGATTGCCGTTTTTTTACGCACACACACACATATATATATATATATATATATATATATATATATATATATATATATATATATAGGTAAAAAATCCGTGGGTATGTAAGAGAGAGAGAGAGAGAGAGAGAGAGAGAGAGAGATTTTGTCTTAACTCCAACACATACCTCCCAGAAATCATCCCACATAATTGTAAGTCATTAGATAGAGAGCGCATAAGAAATGCCTCTCACAAAGCGAAGACAACCATTTCCACTTGCCTAATCACTCTCGCATCACGCAGGTTACAATGTCAGTGGTATTTATGCTGCACACATATATATATATATATATATATATATATATATATATATATATATATATATATATATATATATATGTGTGTGTGTGTGTGTGTGTCTGTGTGTGTACGTGTGTGTGTGCGTAAAAAAACGCTAATCAAATATTGCTGCTTTTCTATGACATATAGTCACTCAGATTGTTATGCGACAATTTCACAATCTTCAGGCGGATCAAGAGACATAATACACATTTTCATATACAATCGACTCTCTTGTCCCTTGAAATTATATATTTGGTCTCTATCTATATGTCTATATACAATTGAGTATATATTTGCTATTTGTACATCTCCTCGCCGTTCTTATTCAATCGTTCTGGGGAGCCCTTTATTTGAAAAGTCTTCTACAGCTTTTCAACAAGTCCTACTGCATCGTTTATGAATTGCAAATTACAGTGTGACCTCCCTTCTATTAATTTCCTTCCATAACTCTGGAAATGATTCCAGGCTTTTGTAAAGATTTTGGTTAGTACAGGAATACGTCTTGGGGCCAATAAAGAGACAACGTTCTGTCAATGTTGTTATCCCGTGGGAAAACGCGTTGGAATTAATGATATATAACAAGAGAAACAAAAATCAGCATTTTTTCAGAAGTTTGCCCAAGTATGGAATATGATTTTTTTTTAAGCATTACGCCCCGTGCAAGGCGTGAAGCCACTAGGATGCAGGGGGTTGCAGAAGATTTGGAGCGAGAGCAGATAGGAGTGATAGAAGAAAGGATGAGGAGAAGGATAGTGGATAGATCAAGGTAACTGGAGGTGTCGATTGACATTACATTTGAATAGTTGGAGATTATAGCTCTCAGGGAAACAGTAATTGGGAAGGTGTAAGGGTGGGAGCGGTATGCCAGCCTCGTAGGGCGCTTGAATTCATGGAGTCTGGGAACCAGTGAAAGCAGCTCATCGGAGCAATTACCATGAAAGTATTTGTAGAAAAGACAGAGAGAGGCGACGGCGCGTCTGTGAGAGAGTGACTGTAGACGAGATGCCAGATCAGGGCCAATTATATTACATGTCCGTCTCTGGATCTTGTCAAGTACTCAGAAGTTGCCCCAGATCATATATGGCAGCAATACTCCATGCAAGGGCGAATGGTTGATTTGTATATGCGAGAAACATGTCCATATTCACTCGAGGGCAACAGAGGATGACAAACGTAAAGGACATTTTAATCAGAATGATACAAGAAGACTGATTCTGACAAGACGAACTAGGTATATATGTTTGTTTAATGGTTGTAATTGCAAAAGAGTGGCTCATTGCGCCTTATCGTATTAACATTTTCCGCTGACATTAAGGGGGGTAGATTTTTAGGTCTGCATCTAAGAAAGATGGTGTTCACTGGATGTGATAGCCGTGAAATATGTAAATAAGCAATGACAGAGCGTAGACTTGGTTTTACCGGCCGAGTGAGGACGAAAGAAAACTAAAACTTCAAAGAGAAAGAGGACCTCACCCGAGAGCGAAGGCACTTTTGGAAAGTGCCTAAAAACTATACCTCGGGTTTACCCAAACCTTGTGAATCGAATTGGGTAGACGAAACCGTTCAGAAGCTGTCGATGCAAGCACGAAGTCAAGTCATTGTGGCCGAGGGCTTGAATGCTCTGATCACACCAGATTATGCGTTCAAACCAAAGGTCTGTAATTAAGATCTCCTCATCATAGTTTCAGTATACAAAACGGGTTGGATTTGTGGGTTGAGCAGGGTTCTATAATAGGGATTTGCTAGCCTCTGGTAGACGGACGTGCTCGAAAATGCATAGCAGTCGACCATAGAGTGTACGGTAGTGTTTTAGAATCAGCGAGGGCTCTGGCGTATGCGTTGAACATCTGAGCTTGTGGGTAGCAAACTTATGGTCAGCTTCCAAAGAGCTTTGAAGCTCAAGTAAATGGGAATGATTGGAACAGATGTAAAGAAAGAAAACCTTCGTGAATCTTAAATCCCTGAAGAATTTTCTTTCGAGCAGAAAGCGATAAAAACATGTACAATCCGACTTTGTCCAGCAAAACAGATGAGATTATCTTTCAAGTTGCGATATTCCCAGAACACTCATATGTGGTTTGTTTTTAATTCTGATGCAACTTGGACCGTGTTTTCGCTTTCATCTTCGATAATGATAATGCCACATCTCTTTCGTGTCATACAGGATTGTAGAGGCTTTCAGATTTGGTAATTGGAAAGCCTCTCCGCTCTGCAGTGTGGAAGAAAGAAGGACTGCGTTCTTGGAGATTTGTGCCGATAAATAAATGCATATTGAGGATTGATGGAAACTTTAGAAAATCCCAGTCCAAGTTTCTTTGCTTTTACAAGAAGATAAAGCATATTTCTCTGATGAATTGAAGTGTTTTATTGAGTTTCTTTTCTTACATCTTATCACTCTTTTGCAGGCTGACGAATAGATGTGATTTACCTGCCTATAAACATTCATGTCTATTAAAAATATCCAATATTTAAAACAGGAAGAACAATTTCTTTTCATTTCTTGACTTATCAAGAAAATATGTTCAGAAAAGAACGAACGTTTTTCTACTGCTGACTACTCTTATATAGAACAGTACAGATAACGAAAAGAGGCACTGTACTGCACCAAACTGAAAGGTGGACAGGGACTGGTTGCCTTGAAAATCTGCTTTAAAATATTAATTTATATCTTAGATCAGACACCGTCGATTACCGTCGGTGGAAAAACTTAATTATGGGAATCAAATATAGCTTCAAATGGCTTTATCTATCACTTTATTTATCATTATCCATTATTCACGATCGGCAAAACTGTCTATTGATACACTTGAACAGGATTAGACGCCATATTTTCCATAAACAGAAGTAACTATTCTTATATTGCCATGTATCGTTACACCTTCCCGTCCAAGCATTTGCCACTGACATGAAGTGGAAGATAATATTTAACCAATTACGAAGACTGCAGGTAAGAATATTGATTCACTATATCGTGCTAAACATTTTTCTCGCTCGAATCTATCTTGAATATTTATAAGTCTACCATTCATCCTTACTTTGAATATTGCTGTCACATTTGGTCTAGTGC